TTTGCTGCATGTTTTCCTAATTTACTTTCACTTATGTATATCCATTGTAATTTTTCATGGTGTTAGCAAACGTTTTTATTATTATTATTAAATACAGACCTGCATTTTTTATTTAATATTTTTAATGAGGTTATCATTCTGAAAAATACACTCAATGATTTAGTAAACAATAACGCCCTAAATTGAAAGTAAAGCGAAATTTATACAAGAAACAATGTGGTCATGAAACAACAGCATTATGTCAAACTGTCTTGACGTATTTGTTAGTTATTAGAGTTTTAATAACATTTTACTTTGGTAACTAATTATTGCAGTACCAAAACAAGACGCTTTTAAAATAAATATAAAAAAATATTTTATTACCGCAAATCAACAAGGAAACAACTGAGAACCTGAGAAGATAACACTGATTAAATTAATAGTGAAAATATTAAATTTCTTTGATCCCGTAAAGTAGATAATAAAACAATTTTTAAATTATAAACTAACTAAAGTGGGTGTCCCGATATTAACGATTTTTTAAATATCCCCATAAAAAGTAATGGGCCCAAAATGAAATTGCCGTTGTTCCCGATTTTCATAAGCGAATTTTGTTTAGCGATGAAGCGCACTTCTGGTTGAATGGCTACTTCAACAAACAAAACTGCCGTATTTGAAGCGAAGCTAATCCTCAAATGTATGTCGAAACACCGTTACATCCAGAAAAACTGACTGTTTGGTGCGCTTTATGGGTTGGTGGAATCATTGGTTCGTACTTCTTCAAAAACGATGATGGCCAGAATGTTACAGTCAGTTACAGTGGATTTAGATCTGCACTTCTGTCAGGCCATCGTATAGGTCCACGATTTCCTATCCACTAATTTGTAAATAATGTATTTAACATATTTATTATATTCAGTTCATTGTGAGGTTTTGTCACTATAGCGAACGCTTAATATTAAATAGTTTGTCATCAAAGTGATTGAAAATATTATTTAATATCAATTGTTGACATCTTTCGGACGTTACGCTACATTTTATACATTACTGGACCGATAATTTTATTATTCCAAAAGCCTACCCAAATATTAAAGGACGCTCGTTGCTGTGTTCTACATTCTACATTCTACATCATATGTTTCAAGCTGATTTTATAATGTACCATATTCGCATTCTGGCAATTTTCAGTTCATTTCCAAAACGACTGATCCTCGAGATGTATTATTAATCTAAGGTTATTAACAGAATTAAAAAAAAACAATGAGAAATCTAAAGTACTATTTACAATATTATCTTCCACATTTCTCGGCTTGCGAAAACTGCCCAATTCCAAGAAATTTCTTTCCAACTTGGCAAAACAAATTTCGATGTGGTCGCATATATCGCGTTGGAATTACACACTACAGTAAAAAGTTACTGGCACTTTAATAATTAATCACTATGTCGATACTGACATAAATCTTATTGTTTCATAGAAGCCTTCTTTTTTCTGCAAGTTTAGCTTTATTGTCAATTTTAGGGAGGTATTTCAGTAATAATAGTTTGCGTTATAAGAAAAAAACAATTTCGAGAACTGAACTACACGCTGTATCTCTCCAACGGGTAACATTTTACTAAGGCATATTTTCGCGAGTTTAGTCTAGCATTGCCTTTTGGCATTGATTACCAACCAACCTGAATATAAAACGATTATTTCGTATAAAAAATGAATATCAAAATTATAGACCCTACATATGAGAAAAAAAATCACATAGAATCAATAGGTACGTCTTAATTCTTCATAAACGTCCCATTAACAGAAGATATTATTATTAAAAAGAACAAAGTGTATTGATAGTTAGTAGCATAAGATTGTTATACATATAATAAATATCTAGTTATTGCTGTGAAACAATACACTGTATAAGTAAACTGTTCCAATAATCGAAAGTCCTGTTACTTATAAAATGCAGGCGATGTGAATTGTTCCTTTCTTATTTTAAATGGATGACCACGTAGGCACATCAGATGGAAATTGGCCATACGCAAAAATATACATTTGAATGAGATCCCCTCGCAGCCGACGCTGACTTAATGTTGGCAGACTCGATATTTTGAGACGCTCATCGTAAGGTGTATGTCTAAGTTGAAGTGGCCAGCGCGTAGCGGCTCTTTCCAGAACATCACAGTCACGCAATGGTTCCAGGATGGGGCGAATGTAAGTGGTGAAAAATCTGCAAGCGATGCGAGGACTAGGATTTTTAAAAGTCTTTTTTAACAAAAATAACACGCAGTTTGCTTTCTTTGCAATATTTGATACATGTATACAGCACGCAAGATCATTAGTTACTGTCACACCTAGGTCCATCTGAGAATCGACACTTGACACAAAGTTTCCATTGGTACAATAATTCAAACCGGGATTGTTCTTGCCAACATGCAGCACAGAGCACTTTTGAGCATTCAGCGGCAATAGCCAAGTTGAACACCACTTGGAAATAGTATTCAATTCTCTCCGCATGTGTTGAAGGATTTTCAAATAATTTAGTGTCATACATGAGTATCAAATCTACGGTATACACTAAGAATAGTACTGATCCCAGCACCGATCCCTGAGGAACACCACTAGGTATGTTTTGTGGCAGTGAAAAAGCGTTATCAATTCGAACTCTGAACGACCGATGGCTTAAGAACGCCGCTATCCACTCTAGCAGTTCACCCCCACTCCGACCTTTTCAAGTTTGAATAACAAGCGTCGATGTGGCACTTTTGTCGAAAGTTTTGCTGAAGTCGAGGTAAACAATATTCACCGGATCACCTGAGTCAAGAGATAATGTCCAGTGATGCTGCGATATAGTTATAATATGGCAGTCGATCAAAAACGGTAACAGCTGATTGACAACTGACTATAAGGCGTTCAAGAACCTTACATATAATACACACTAGGCTGACAGGGCGGTAATTTGAAACATCGAGCTTATCACCCTTTTTATAAATCGGTGTTACATTTGCGAATAACCAGTGGGTTGGGAGTGTGGCAGAGTCCAAAGATTTTCTCAAAATAATATAAATATGCTCTGCAAGCACAGGAGCACACGGTTTTAAGATTTTACTGAAAATTTCATCAGGTCCGGGAGCAGAATATTCTTTTAACTCAAAAAGAGTTTTTTTCACGTCCTCTTGGTCAAAGTGAATGTCTTCTAATAAATCTAGATTTATTGGACTCTCATAGTGAGACGGTAGATTAGCTGGTTCATCAGCAAAGACACTAGCAAAATATCAAGCAAATTCATTCCAAATGAAGTCCTGGTTATATGACAGGAAGGCATATACCTTAGATGATACGTGTTGTCTGACATAGGAATAAAACGCTTTGGGCCGATTGAGAAGGTCATTTTCGAATGCTCACTTCGCCTCTCTAATCTCCAAGGAGAAACTCTTCTGTGCAAAGCATAATCGGAAGCAGAGCCTTAAATTTACGCCATAGAGCTCTCTTATGTTTTATTTGTTTGAAGAGTTAACCAAGGTTTCTCAGAATTGAACTTAACAAAATGAGTTTTGGAGCTTGTGCCTATGTAATAATCCAGAGTAGGCAGAAAATATGTCCAACGTCGTTATCAGGAAATTTGCATGTATGGTGGACTAATCTTGCAAAATTTGTACTAAACATAGTGAAAAAAAATCTTGAAAAATATTTTTTGTGAGATATTGCCTTTACATACAAAATTATTATTTCTCACAAACGCATACCTGAAGATTAAAAAGTGCCTTACAAAACTTCAAAAAATTATACTTAGAGACTAATATGACAGTTTAATTAGCAACGTTCGCGAAGGTGATTTCTGAGAATAGGTCGGCCTGACCATTTAAATATGAAAATTTTACGATATAGCAATTACTTTTTAGTTCCTTAAGAAAAATATTACACACTGCATTTAGTGCGTCGATGTTTAGAAACTGATTAACAATACAAATCTTAGAAATTTATAATATTTGGGTTTTATAATTTTTGGTGCTACTTTGAAAGATTTGACCGCCCCCACTTACGGCTATGTTTTTGTAAACCCAACACGAAGAATTTTTCGGGGGTCCGCCCCGGTAGCAGAAGGTAGCAAAATTCAATAGATCAACAAATTAACCACAGGCGGGAAAGTTCCCAATCTGCGCGTTTCTCTTTAATCAGGAACATCTTCGGCATCGTCTTCCTCGTACAGTCGAATCGTCTATACTCGCGAGATCTGCTAGAGACTTTGCATTTTTTGACATTTTCATAACTTCAAAGCCCTTTGTCACTTTGGAACAAGTTGCAATTCGACTTGTTTCTTATATAATAATTGCAATTTGTTGCGCTGAGATACTCCACAAATAAAAGGAAGTCAATTCTTAATATCAGGGCGTCATGGCAAGATGATGTGCTACTGTCAACATAGCTCAGGCTTTAGTCTTTCACCAAAGGGATCCAACTAGATGTAGATAATTTTTAGTTTTGGTCGCCTTAGAACCTCTTTCTTATTTGACATTCTGGGTAAGGATTCCTCGGACCAATTATAATCAAATCACAACTTGATTAATCAGCTATGTTAGTATTAATAGGTTTAGTATACACTAGTTAATAGGATTAGTATTAGTAGGAATAAGTAATTAATAGGTTTCTTTCCGTCCCAAAAGTATTTTTGTTTTATTGGTTACTATGTTACTATATTTTCCTGCAATTCATGTATTCTGCAATTATTATTGTCTCTAACCGAAACAAACCTAAACTCACTCTGTGAAAATCGGACTTAACGCACGGGAGCACCAAATACCACGAGAGTGATATTTAAAATTGTAAACCAGAAAAATTGCCGCACCGAATTATTTTAATAATTTCGTTATAATGTCGCAAGGTTTATTACGTAAATATTATGATCGCATCCTCTTCCGCTCGCACAAAACCGGATAATTGCCCAAATAACCTTAAAATGCGTTCGGGATTCAGTGCGGTCATTTCAGTTCGGTTATTATGGCGGACACAGCATCAACAGCAACATCAGTCAGTCAAACGCAGATAACGCTACAACCCCAAAAGATGATTCACCATTTCGAGAATTAAATTGCAACACGAAAATAAAAAGTTAGATAAGACGAGAGAGAACAATATGTGTGGAAAACAAATCTCGATCAAAATACTGGAAATAACAAAGTACTCGAGCTTAATCGGCTGATCAACATTAGATACAAACACAAACTCTATTGTAAAGATTAGATAAGTCGATACCGGCGGGATGACGTTGTCATCGTTACGATGTGTTTCGAGGTCAAAACAAAGTTGGTACAAATTTGGACTAGTATTATTTCGATACCGAATCACATAGAAGAAGTTAGCCATTTTTTTTACACTTCTGCATAGACTAAGCTGAAACTGACGCTAACGGTAACTAATATGGTTTTCTTTAAGCAAATTGTGTTGATATTCCTAAAGCCTGACGGTAATTGAATGTGTCTTCATCAGCCTAATTGTGCAAAACTCGATGTATACTGAATCGAAAAAAAAAGAAAAACAGTGAAATTTTTGGTAAAATGTGTAGAATAAGAACTGTTTTTTATTTTTAGGACGATTTTCAATTTTATTTCACGTATTTAATCGTTTGGATAATGTTGCCGTTTTAGTCATTATACAGTGTTAATTGAAGATCTTAATTTTAAAACACCCTGTGGAATAATTACGTTATCGATTTTTTTTTTGAACTTATTATTTAATATTGACACCTATAATAACTGCCTGCGTAAGGTCCATACTGTCAATTAAGTTACGAATAGCTTCTTGAGGAATATTTTGCCATTTATACTAAAGCCACTTCAAGCTCTTTGAATGACTAAACTAACATATCCCACATATGCTTTATAGGACTGAGATTAGGCGAACATGAGCATGAGGATAAATTCACTACTAACAGTAATAATCAATATGGCTATTATCTCGTCTATATATCGGTGGGCATACAACCATCCAGCGAAGACAACCAAGTTAGTGCAAGTCTCTGGAATAATTAATCCCGACACCATTACTGGCACTCCTCTATGACTCAGTAGGAGGCTAAACGTGCACTATGCAAATCTTTCTCCGACTCTTCTCCATACCCGTTTTCGTCCATCTGGATTCGTCAGTAAAAAGAACATTCTGCCGTTGCTGTAAGTTCTAATATAAATATTCAGTAATAAACTGCAGCCCAGCTACTCGGCGATGCGGAAGCAGGTTTGGTTCATTTGCTGGACTGCAAGTTTTTAGACTAAAATCCTTTAATTTTTAGACGAACTGAATTGACGGAGTTGTTTTCTTACTGGTACTGATTTTAAATGGCGATCCCGTGGAAAAATCTGTCATCACAGGCAGTAGTTTTGCATCTTCTGCCACAGCTGATTCTACAGGTATATCCAGTTTGTCTCTAGATGGGAGTGCGATGAACATGAAGGGTTCTTGCAATATATTTATTCATAAATACGCACGATAGTGAAAACCATGACAGTAGTAACGAATGTCTGACGTGAAGAAATACGTCATTAAAATGGCATGGCCTAAAAAAAAAATAAATAAAAAATAGGTACCTGTCTATTTTGCTCTTTAAAACAAACTGTAAAAAATAAAAAATAAATAGTTCTTAACCATTTAAAAAAATGGTAACGTAGTTATTCCACAGCGTATTTTAAAATTAAAATCATGACACAACCGTTGAATTAACCCTAACCCTAACGTAATGACCAAAACGTCTACGTTTTATTTAAAATTTTCTAAAAAGTTTATGAAAATTTGCCTAAAAATTAAAAAAAAAATGATTTTTTCTATCTTTTTTTTTTATATATTGTTCTATATTTTGTGTCCCTAGTGCACCAACAGTTTCATTTTCGTTCGATACGAGTGTCGCTCTAATCAGCTGACGCCGACACTAATAGTAATCAATTCCATTTCTGGTTTTAGAACCGTCGTCGTTCGCCCATTGAACTATGAGAGCCAGCATTGCTATTCGCTCGCAAGACTTTCTCACAGAGTGGTCGGTAACCGGATACATCTGAATGAATCGTATCGATGTTAGCATTCGAAGGAGTTCTAGAAATTTTGTTGAATGTATTCATATATTTTGTGTTTTAATTTCCTTACTACTACCTTGCAACGGTCGGTTTGATTTATTAACCCAAAAATGCCTACGAGCAGACAAAAACGTTAATAGCATTAATATAGCATTTATAGTATTACTATAGTATTTATCGTGCGTCGGACTATACTTAGTTGCCAGTATTATTATACTGAACATACGAGTAGTACATTGCCAAATAGTCCGTGTTTCATTTTTATTATCTTATAGTCCAAATAAGTTTCCAGCACATTAATTATCTGAACTTATTCATTGATGCGTTACTGATACCACGAGGTATTATTTATCATGCAACTTTTATTCTATTATAGAACGTGTTGATTCCACTTGCGAGACAATTAACATTTGTCGCCGCTTAAGTTTTAAACCTAAGGTAACTCCATATTTATAAGCGGTTTAGAAGAAACCGTAGTTTTTAGAATAGTTTCTGTAGTTATGGTAGAGTTTGGTAAGAAAAACTTTTGAAAGAAGTCCAATAAATAACCAAATTCTTTAAGTTTATAACATTGCTTGCAAAACGTTTCCATTGCTTACTTTGATTTTACTTACTTTAAAAACATTTTTGTAACTTTCTTTAAAACCATATTATAATAATCTTACTCTAGAAGTTTTATAACTTACTCCGCAAAACCTTTATACTATGAGACCCAACGAATGTTATAAAACATAGTCCGGTAATGTTTTCGAGGATATGAAAAACTTGTAAAAAAAAATAATACAGTAGCAGCTTTTATAGAAATAGTTCTAAAACCAGTGATTAATATTCCTACACCGAAGTCGGATCCAAATTGTTTCCATTTTTAACTATTTTAAATGGCCAAAACAGCAACCCAATGGATCCCAATCGTTTGCACAATTTTAAAAGAAATTTTTAATTTAAACCTAAACTTCATCTACATATTTATAAAAAGTTAAGCACAGCCCTTTTAAGAGCAAACCAATAAAGAACTACTGAAAATGAGATTATGATAGCATAATTGCAATTTGCGTGAGCAATGTTGCTGTAACACACTCATATTAAGTGTTATAAGTTTCCGAGATGTTAAATTACTTCGAAGCTGTTATAGAAAGATAGGTTATTAAAAAGCGAACCTGGGGAACATGTAATTCTTTTATATGATCGCCAATTTTGTTTTTTTTTTAATTGACATAAATACTTACCTAAAATCTTAAGAATATCGCATTTTAAGATAATATTATTGAAAATTGAAAATATCTTTTTAAAAAAATGTTCTGTACTGTTCATTACAAAAACAAATTTCATGGGAGATAATTTTAATTTTTAGGTTTTTACCAAAAATTACGTTCTAAAGTTCTCAAAATGACGGTGCTTTGGTTTGAGAAATGGTAAAATATAAAATTATTCGATTACTTTTTTATACCAAATAAAATAAAATTTAAAGTTATAATGAATAAGAATTTTTATAATACTGTAAAAGTAAAAATCGTAAAAAGTAAAAACAAAATACACGAGGACTCGAAAGGAAGTTTGTTGTTTGGCATTTATAAATACTGTAGGTAGGTCGCAAATTTTATAATAGCTGTTATAATTTATTAACGTAAGTTTTATAGCCGTGATAAAACTCATTTATGGTCTTTATGTCTCCATTTAAGTGCTATAAGGGCTTTATAAGAGTAACGAAAACGCTTCGCGAACATTTCATAGGTTCCCAAGTTTAATAGAATAAGTAATCAAAATGTAACCATCACCAATAAAAAACAAAAAATAATAGTCGAAATATCCATAATAGTTTTTATCGACGTTTCACTTTACCCATAATGTATGTATGTGGAAATATGTCCGACTTTTGATACACATCTAAAACACATAAAATTCCGACAAACGCGTCCCGACGAACTTAACCTACATTTTATAAACAATTGCGTTATTGATTTTTCAAGCGGAGGCCGGGGTTACAATTGGGTGATAGGTACATTAGGGTTGTTTGCTCATTCTAAATGAAGAGATAGGTTATAGGGTGAGTTCCACCCCCGGGGGCGTCGTCGTTGCCAGCGGTAAACCGGATAGACAGCATGAATAATAAATAACGGGCGGGTTGGGGAGGGATTTCTACGGGAATTTCTGATATTAAAAAGGGCGGGGATTGGATGACTTAACCACTAAATCATCTCACAATGTAACTGATTAAATGCGTATTGAAACAGCTTATGTCGTAAATGTTAAATTAGGGGTCTAATGGTGTAATAGTGTAATTTCTAACTGGATTGCTGTCACCGAATATTAAAAAAACTAACCAAAAAATTATTATGTCTGAATCGGTATGTGATACCTAAACACAACTTAAACCACACATTTTTTTTATGGGGGTATTTTTGATTTTGGAAGCAAAAATAGCAGTTTTTACACAGTTTTCAATAAAAAAGGTGAACCTTATAGAAGAGGCTGCTTTCGAACCTGTGTTTATTAAGCAAACTAACGTTATTGTGTAATATTCTATTTATCCTAGAAATAAGTGTGAAACACTCTATATAGTGAAATCGTCATAAAAACAGCGTCAATGGTATAACATAGAACCCTCAGGAACCCATGAGCAGTCGCTACTTTTAAAAAGGCTAAAAATTAATAATAATAAAAGAAGACCTTGAAGAATCTCAATTTTCTAACGCTTTTGTTGGTGCGATATGAACTTGACTTGGCTATACAGGGTGTCCCGTAATGGTAAGTGAATCCATAAATAATTTAAATAATTCGCGAGCCTGGTAAGACACGAGTAGCGAATCTTTTGTGATAAATATAATAATAGATAGATACATTTATTTAGCAATTGTTTACATAAAAAGTCTTTACAACAAATGGCGCGTCAGTAGTACAAAAGAAAAAAGAAAGATTTACGCTGTCAACTTGTGGTTGTCGATAAATTAATCATATCGATAGATTCTTAAGACAGAAAAATAGAAAAATTCCATGCGTGAAAGCAATATGACAAAATATACAACAGACATACACTGTAAAAGTACAATACATAAATTATAAAGTGTAAAAACAATGGAATCTAAAATTTAACAGAAAACGTAAATATAGATACGTTAACAATAAAACATATGTTGATCTAACATTTCGTGTTTGGTCGAACGCGTGTATTCTGTAATTGAGTAAAAAGCATGCTCCAGAAGAAACAGTCTAAATTTTCTGGCGAATTTAGACTGTGATAAGTCTCTGATATGTTGAGGAAGAACATTGTACAAGTCGGTGCGAGGCTTATTCCTTGTCGAGGTTGTCAGTCTGGAATAGTATGGTACGATGAGGTCTGCCTGTCTGGTGTTGTCTGCGTGTCTGTCAGAATGTCTTTCAGAAGCATGTATATTTTCATGGACGTGAGTCAGTGCACGGTAAATGAACAGACTAGGAAGTGCCATGATTTGAAGATAGGGCGACAATGTGCCAGAGGTGTTGATCCGCGAATTGTGTGTGAATTAGCTTTCTCTTGCATTCGGAAAGCTTTGGCTGCATGGACAGACCCGTCCCAGTTTAGGACTACGTACAACAGCAAAGAGTGAAATAAGCCAAAATAAACCATCCTCAGCATGATGGAACGGGTAAAGTCTAATGGACAATCTGTTACAAAGGAGTTTGATATGTGATTCCCATGTCAACGATCTATCCAGTGTGACGCCCAATAGATTAATTGGGACTTGATTCAGATGACTGACTCTACTCCCTGAGAAGGTCATACGCTGAGTTTTGCTGTGATTAAGAATAAGACTGTTGCAGTTGAACCAGGTCTCCGCGACTTCCTCTGTGCGGACACACTCTTCCGCCAGATGAATGAGATTATTTCCCCTTATAAGGAGGGCAATATCGTCTGGGGATATTTAAAGGGAGATCATTAATGTATATAACGAAAAGTAGGAGGTCTAGGAACACCATACCTGACGGGAAGTTCGTCGCTCCTAGTTCCGTTGATTTCGACCAACTGAGATCTAGGTAAGATCAGGTAAGACTTAAGCAATTCGAGCGGAGTGCCCCTCACACCATACCACTCCAACTTCCGATACAATACATTGTGATCAATACAGTCAAAAGTCTTAGTGATGTAAAACAATGTGGCTTTTACCACCTCAGTGCCATCAACACCAAGTGCCACCTCCTCGACAAAGTCCACAAAGTCCATAATAATAATAACAGTAATAATAATAATAATAATAATAATGATAATAATAATAATATTTTTATTTATTTTTTTTTATTTTTTTTTATTTATAAATCATCCATTTTTTAACATATAATGCAAAAAACTTGATATTTAGAAATATCCTGTTAAGTTACACTTTACGTGTAAGTCTTGTAAACAAAAACGGCATACCAGCGTCTTAATCCTTCTTACTCCCAAATTTTCTTGTTGGACGCTAATAGTCTTACAATTTTAGAAAAGAAAACATTATTAACAAAATAAAAACAAACAATTTACAACAACTTAAATTACATCCTCTAATCAGTGTAGAAAGGCACTTAGGAATATTTTGTAGCAACAGCTTCTTTTTTTATGTTAGTTGCTACTATGCAATTTTAGATCCCTCTAAAACCTAGTGCCCTTCCTAATATACTGAATAGATACAAGTAGATTATTCTACAGAGTTACGGAAGCCTTTGTTGGTATTTTGCATTATCCAAATATCTTTAACAGCGTTATCTAATATTCAATTCATTCATGTTCAAACGTCATCCGCATTCGTAAGTCAAATGTAATAGGTCAAAATCAAATAGGATTTTTAACATCTAAGTTTGTAGAATTTGCACCTTACTATTTACGCCCTTCTTCAGACCTAAACTGAAACTGTCTAGCATTCTTCTCTGTACCTGCTTATAAAGGGTGATTCAATAACAGTTTCCACATTACAATCTGAAATATTTTTTTGAAACGTCACTGTATTTGTTTATTATCATATGAGATTTCCAACCTCAAAACATAAACAAAATTATTCATGGAGCAATATACGACTGAACAACGTGTAAAAATTGTGCAAGCCTATTATGAAAATGGTCAATCAAGAAAAAATGCATTTCGAGCTCTACGTGAATTTTTCGGCGAGCAAAATGGACCTTCTGAGAGGACAATTTGGAATGTGGTTCAAAAATTTGAGCAAACTGGATCTGTAACTAACCTCAAAGTGTCTCAACGTGATTGCGCAGGTCGGACAGATCAAAATATTGCCAGTGTTCGCGAAAGTGTAGATCCAAACCACAGCGAATTTTAACAA